GGGGAATGACAGAGGGGAACACAATGCTTTCATTGAAAATTTAGGGGGGCTGACCCCTTCCCCCTCTTTTTTCAGGACTTTTGCAATACTTTACACGCTGCATTTTATAACTTCTTGAGATTCACTGAGTGTTTCTACAGATTTAAATTGCCTTATCCTTGCATTTTTGAGATTGAAAAAAATGATTTCTGTTGAATTACCATTGTTTAGAAACAATGACTTTGTTTCCAGGCCATGTTTTTTCTTTAAGAAAAAAAAAAAAAAGATTACCAGAGCTTAAGGCCAGGGACCAATTCCATCTAATTATGGCTGCAATGCAACAGCTGCCAACAAGAACCACACTGTGTCAGATGAATATGTGGGAAGAGAAGGAAGCACTTATGAAGTTGTTTTAAAAGCTAAAAACTTGCCTATTGAACATTCTGATAGAAATGAGCCTTATCTCAGCACAAACGGAGGATAAAGATTACAAATAATTGCTTGATAACAGAGCATCTTGTTCCTTACTGGATGCGCATCCAGGGGAAACTGATTTTAAATTACAGAGATTAAAAGGGATAATTTGGATGGGGGAGAAGGGTGTTGACAGGAATCTACCATCTACAGTACTCTAGATAGCCTAAATCAGGGGTCTTCAAACTTGACTTTGTAGACTTCAACTTGCATAATTCCTCAGCCAGTCATAAAAGGGCCAAGTTTGAAGACCCCTGGCCTAAACATTTGCTTACTATAAGGCTTTTCTATTAGCTTCTTTGTTTACATTGCCAGTAGAGTTTTTTTTTTTATTACCTTCTCAGCTTGTAGATGTTCCTGAATCACTCTGAGGTCAGCCCTTTACTTTTACATTTTTAAAACCTGCTGAAGCCTACCAAAGAACTCCAAAGACTTGACTCCTTCATTTCGTAGCCTAAAGTCACTGAACTTTATTATGCACCCTTTCCCCTGCCAAGATGAATGCTATTTTGCCACTGTCTTCTACCAAGCATCAGGTGAGAGCCTTACTTGGAAGTTGAGACTTTTGTGAGCCTTGGATACCAGCCTTTGGCAAGCTACTAAAATCTTTATGTCACTGACTGCTAAAAAGTGAGCTGTAGCCCACTATACATTCTGGACCCTATCATTCATGGTCAGTAGGATGTCTGTGAGCCTTGGTTGCTACTGTCCTTGTTCAAAATATCTAAAGACGTGGTTATGGACTTTCCAACGACTGCTTTGTCTATGGAGATTCTCAATCATCCAGGTCATGGTTGTCCCATGTTGTTACCTTTTCCAAAAGGTAACTGAATTTTCCTGTTTTTTTCCTTTGAAAGCATTTTGCTTCTCATCCAAAGAGCATCTTCATGAGAAGTAAAATGTTTTCAAATGAAAAAAACAAAACAAGAAAGTCTACTTGCCTTTTGGAAAAAATACCGTATATGCCGGCGTATAAGGCGACTTCTGCAAGCATTAAAATTGGCACCGAAGTTGGGGGTCGTCTTACACGCCGAGTCGTCTTATACGCCGGAAATACTGGTAGTTTCCGGCATATAAGACGATGTTCTAGGCATGTGACTTGGTGCCAAAGATGGGGGTCGTCTTATACGCTGGGTCACCTTAAACGCCGGCATATACGGTACCTTTAGGACATTGACTACTTTGTTCCTCATGAGGTTTCTGCCATTCTCCTGGAATGATCAACTCCAGCCTTTGAAGTTCAGTGGTTAGCCACTTATGAAGCAGAGCTTCTAGCTGCTCCAAACCTGACTTTGAAGCGATGTACAATTTTGAATCCCACAATACCAACAGCATTTAAGACATATACTGCTTCGTAGCACTCTCTGGGGTTTTACAGAGCATACTGCTCCCAACAATCTGGGTCCTTATTTTAATGACCTCAGAAGGATTGAAGGCTGAGTCAACCTTGAGCCAGCCAGAATTGAACAGTCGGCAGAATTAGCCTGCAATACTGCATTATAACCACTGCACCACCACGGCCAGTTGGCCACTTCTGTTTCCCAAGACTACAGATGACTTTATCCACAATTGTTTGCAGACCATAAACCTGGTGGAGAAACCTCAGATTTTACTTACGTGGCCTTACAAACTCTTTGACTTTGAACTCTTTTCTGATAATCTTGTGTGGTTGAGGGCATCTGTTTAACAGGGACTGCATTTTTTTTTAATCTGCTGGGTAGTACCCTTGCTACCTTCCTGAATTTATTGCCTAAATTCAATCTTGTATTGCCAAATATAATAATAATAATAGTAGTAAAGTTGGAAGGGACCTTGGAGGTCATCTAGTCTAACCCCCTGCTCGGGCAGGAAACCCTACACCATTTCGGACAAATGGCTGTCCAGTCTCTTCTTAAAAACTTCCAGTGTTGGAGCATTTACTGCTTCTGGAGGCAGGCTGTTCCACTGATTAATTGTTCTCACTGTCAGGAAGTTTCTCCTTAGTTCGAGGTTGCTTCTCTCCTTGATTAGTTTCCACCCATTGCTTCTTGTCCTGCCTTCAGGCGCCTTGGAAAATAGCTTGATTCCCTCTTCTTTATGGCAGCCCCTGAGATATTGGAATACTGCTATCATGTCCCCCTTGTCCTTCTCTTAGTTAAACTAGACATACCCAATTCTAGCAACCATTCCTTACATGTTTTAGCCTCCAGTCCCCTAATCATCTTTGTTGCTCTTCTCTGTTAATATCTTCATTGATTCCAAGTATGCTTTTGGTCCTGGTTCCTTATCGAAACTGAGAGGATTCTTCACCATCTCAGGCCATCAGATTGTTCCTGCGTACCTGGTCATTTTACCTTATATTACTAAAGGCAATCACTTTGCTTATCAGGCTTGCTCAACAACTTTGTGTTTCAGTCTTTGCGCTTGTTTCAAATTCCCTCCCTGCTGCTTCTCAGAAGTTTATTTCAGATGCTGGGACTGCTACTTGCAATGTCTCTGTGATGTTTATTCAAATGGTTCCTCAGGCCTCATGTTATATTTTAGCTCACCAACTACATGTGAAAGACATTGTGATACCCAAGCTATTCTAGTCTGGCTTGCTTCTGGAGCTTATGTACAAAATCCCAAGAACTTTTTCTAGGGTGAGAACTTGCAAAGAGGAAAGGTAGCTCTCTGCCATCTCAATGCATCTACGGTTGGAGTGAGGAGGATGTCAAAGTTTCTATCCTTCCAAGAAGGCAGCAGTAGCTGAAAGCTCTGGAAGGCAATGGCAGTAGGGCCACAATTCCTCTGAGGGATCCTTGGGTGATCTCTGAACTCTCAGCACTGGTGATGTTACCTAGCTTGGTTAATGAAATGTCTGCAAGAAAACACCCAAGCTCAGAGAGCACCAAGGACCCTTCATTTCAACCTTGAGTCACACGTATTCTCCTTTATCAGTTCCTCTGAGTGCCGGATCCATCTATTCCAGCTGGGAGATTTCCAGTGGCTTAAAAAGTTCCATAGCAGGGCTCTCAACCCAACCTGGGAGGATCACCCAGATTTTGCTGGCTACTCCAAATTAACTGTACTTGTGGAAGGAAAAATAGATTCACAGGCCCAGAATGGACTGTTGCTGATTTTGCAGAACTTACTTGATGAACTATTTTATGAAACTCTGTGGACTTCTTTTAAGCAACCATGATTTCTGTTGGACTTTTGCTCTATTTGCCATTACTTTTATGCAGGTGGGATAAGCTGGGAGAGCAATTCTCTTGTCAACCCAAGCTTCATGCAATCACAAATGCTAACCTGAAAAATAAAACTTGTTGGATCTGTGCTGAGTCAACCTCTCGTCCTATTTTTCATGTGTTCTTTAGTACTAATTGGTGGGAACATCATACAATTTTGTTTGATAATCCCCTCTTCTTTGGTAGACAGGGTTTTACTGTTTAAATGAACTTGTTGTAAATGTATCTATTACTTTTGAAATCTTTATTAATGACACTTCAAAGAGCTGTAAGCTACTTCAGGATGAAAATTTCTCTGGAAAATGTACTGCAAAAGAGGCAAGTCTTAATCAATTACTGGGGGAAACATAAGGGAGGGCTCCACATGAACATTAATCAAAGCTGATACCTGTTTCATGAAGGCTTAATTACCCAGCAACATAAGTTAGCTAGAATAGTTCCTATCCTGACCAAAAAAAACCCCAGGGAAATCTTTTTTGTTTTTAAAAAAAAAAACACCACTTGGTATGTAGATGACACATTGGGGTGAGTGAAACTTTTACTGCTCATGGTAATGGCTGTGGCTGCCCTAGCTCTGCTTGGATATTGTCTTCTTCAGTATGCCCCCCTCAATAGGTGCACCCCATTGTTGCTATTCTTCTCTGGGTTCTGCCCTGCAGAAATGCTCCAGCTATGGATCCCATGCAATTTCAGATGTTAATTGCTCACTTGCATGCTAAACACTACAGTGGGTCAGCACAATTGCTAATTTGAGAACCAAATGGGTGATTTGCTACTTGGAATTTTAGGCATCATCACTACCATTTTAATAAATGGTAATATTAGCATTTGAGCATGGCACCTGTGCCTCCTTTTAATGTTTAGGAAACCATGTTTTTCCTTTGAGTCAAAATCATTTCCTTTGACGTGCAAAAACTAGCCCTTTCAGGGACACCAATCAAACTATGGGGCTGCATTGGAAGTCGTCAAAAGAAGAGATGCAACATATCTTAAGGATGTCTCTTCTCCTGTCTAATCAATATCTTTACTTGATTTGTTGCTTTCTGATGCATTACATACATCAAATATATCGTTTGTCTCTGTGCTCTATATAAAGTCTTAATAAAATGCTTTTCCTTTCAGTACTTGTGGTTTGTGGGAGGGGACAAAGGAGGCAAAAAAGCCACTTTGCAAGGATATCGGATGTTTCTCAAATTCAGAGACTGGGTTCTTTCCAGCTCCATGCCAATTTGGGTGTTTTGAGTTTTTGGGACACCAGCTTAAGTTGAAAAATTAACAGCAGCAAAGATTCCTTATAACGTTGCAATCAGTGACAGCTCTATTAAAATCCAGGCACCATTTCTTACCTATGTCAATGTTTTTATTAAGTTTATGTGACATATTTTCTGGGTACAAATACCGATTACAGTTAATCCTTTCATTTGCTTTAGTCCTTACTTTTTTCTGTTCTGTAATTTTCTCATCCTTGAAGTTGTCTTATTTCAATAAAAGAGCAGTTTAAAAATAACCAGGAGTAAAACAAACTAAAAAAAACAGATGTTACACAAAGACTTGATAATGCTAAAAGCAGAAACCTCTACATTCATATACTGTACGTTTCTCAAAATGAATATTTCTCAATTCTTCTAAACACCCTAGTTTTATGGCTTTGGGTAGTATATAGAGATCCAGTTTGATCTAGTGCTTAAGGTACCACGCCAGAAACCAGGAGAGTGTGAATTCTAATCCAGCCTTTAGCAAAAAAAAGCTGGCTGGATTATTTTGGGCCAGTCACTTTCCCTCAGTCCAACCCAGGGTTGTTGTTGTGGGAAAAACAGAAGAACAAATATTAGGTAAGTTTGTTGCTTTTATTCATAAACATAATAAAGGGAGGGGGTTGATAAAGAGAGACTGCAAAAGATCACTGATTGCAGCTATTTCATCTAGATAAAGTTCTCTTTTACAAGGTCCTTTGCCTGATCTGCTCCCCCCCCCCCCAAAATTTCCCTCTACACAATCTATCTTTCCAGAAGTGCTTTTCTCTGCAACTGTTAGGCCCCAAAACCAAGAAAGACACATGGTGATTGTTCCAAGCTGGGTTCTTTATTGTCCTGCACCTATAAATAGAATTCTGCCAAACTGAAGTACATCATTATCTGCATCAACCATATGCTCTGAGAACTATTAGGGAGGGGCTGTCTTCACCCTCTTTCTCTCACACAAAGTATCTCGGACTACTACATTCCAAAAACTTCAACATAGCACTTCCCTCAAAAATGCTAGCCACGAGTTAACAAGCAAAGTTTTGTGACCTTAATTCATTAGAATCTAGACTAGTTCCTGTTGCTTCTTGAAAACAACTAGACCTTAATCAGTTTCGCACTGAAGGCTTTTGTTGGTTAGGCTCATGAAACTTGGTTGTAAATGCACACACTGATTGGAAAATGATTTTTTAAAATTTCTGTCATATTAGCGAATGCCATTAACCGAGGTAGTCATAAACAAGGAGTGGCTGTAATGTATAAATATTTGAATATACATTTCTATCTTATCTTTCCAATAAGTCATGACAAGTAGGCATCTGACTTTTGCTGCTGATTTCCATTTTATATTTCAACTTAACGGCTAGTTTTAAGACCTATTTTGTTTTCAGAAAAAGGCTTTCTCTTTCTGAAAAAGATCGAGGCTGTTACCAATATGAACCCCAAACTGACCACAGTTAAATAATTTTTTGCAAGTCGCCTTCCTTATTGGTCAAAGAGGTTTACTAATCTTTCTCATTGATTATTTCTATAGCTGTTCAGCAGCCTGTTTCTGATTAATATTTATATTTCTGCTACGTGTATAAACAAGCCTGGAGAACTAGTAAGCTATTAGGCTTGATTTTCAGATAACTCATTGCCATATTATTTTAGTTTAGCATGAGACACAATACAGACTCTTCTGTTGAAAAATTACCAAACTCACCCTGTGGTGTGACTTAAGAACTAATCTAAATCTAATGGAAAGGCAAGGCACAACTGCTGAAATTTGGGGGGGGAAACAGAAAAATTCATGCTTTGTCCTCTGGATGGCTTTGAAATTATGTCATCTTCCAGGAAGCAATTTCCTCTTCCCTTGTTTTCTCCTACCCATACTAAATATATTGCTGGAAGGATTGGATACTGCCTTCATTAGCATTGCCCTTCTCTGACTAGAAGAAATATTTTCATGAATCACATTATTTTGTTATTTGTCATCTGTGATGGCTATTAAGGAGCAGCATGCACAATTCTTAGAGGCACAGATTGTCTGGTATCTCTAACAATGAAACCATATCTCAATAAATACATACTATTTGGTAACCCTTTTTTATTTTTCCTTAAAATCTCCCTTCTCTTTGCTGCTGTATCAACCAATCACAAAACAGCCTTACAAATTTTAAAAAGTATTTTTAGACTGGTTCAAATCAACAAAACACATAATAATTAAAAATACTAAAATACGTAATAAAAGCAGAATTACAGCACCCTTCATTAAATTATGAAATAATCACTGTATTAGTTAATGAAGCCTCTATACAAGATAGGAAGAAATTAGCAAAGAGGAAATATTACATATTTATTAGGTTCACTTTAGTAAAAAGGATTGGGTGAAATCCAACATTTATACAAGCAGAAAACAAGTATGCTCCATAAATATGTTGCAACTCCTAGCAATGCCTTATGTTGTATTGAATCACATTATCCTAGCGTATTATTCTAACAGCTCCATTATATTCCCTTGATCCTCCTAGCTTATGGAGGCTTACAAGGCATGGTACTTTTACTGAGCTTCAGGGAGGCAGAAGAACTGCATAAGCTCCTACATCCTCCAGAGAAATTCAGACAATTTCTCCTTCTTGCTACAATCTGGCAAGGAATACATTCCAATGCTCCATAAGTCTCCCAATGCTTTTTGACAAAGACAGGAGGAGGTGGGATATGTTCTGGGCATTAAAGTCCAAAATTTAACTTTGGCCTTTAGGCAGAACATGCCTTTGTGAAGTTCAACAACTTCACAACAATTTTTGCATTGTTTATTTTGCTTAAGCTAATATTACTAGTGACTATATCAATATACTGTATTCTGTATACTTTCATGAAAGAAATGCTCACTGTAACACGACTAGATCTTGTTAAGCAACCACAATTGGATTGGCAACTCCATCACTAAGCACAGCAATTGCTAAATGGAAAGTTACACGATCATGACAAGCTTGCATTACTTCCCATTTGATTGTTAAGTGAGACATCACATGACTGTGACTTTTGATTTTACTTCCATGTTCTCCATTAAGTCTGTTTGCCACAAGCCAGTTATGAAGCATGCAAATGGCAATCATATGACTGCAGGACATTGTAACCGTTGTAAATCTGAGGATTGACCACAAAACTGTTTTTTAAAATACTGTTGTAACTTCAGACAGTTGCTAAATGAAATAGCTGGTAAGCGAGGACTACCTGTATTTCATACACTGTTCGGAAGAATAAAATATGTTTTATTTATTCTTATTTGGTGATGAAGTTCATGCTTGGCATGCAAAAAAATCCAAATTCAACTCCAGATAAAGCTAAGAGAACCCCTCTCTAAAACTGCAGAAATTGCCACCAGTCATAGAGCCACTCTTAAGCCAAATGTCCAAAGATTGATGCTGCAGAAAAATTCTCTGCATAAAGACACTTTTCATATGTGCCTTGCAGCTGTTGCCTTTATACTCTCTCCTTTTTTCCCTGAAGAACACAAAAATAGGTTCACATAGTACAAGCAATCCTTTGGTTAAGAACATCCAATGTAAGGGCAAACCCTAGATATGAATGGGCTGCCTATTTGGCAGATAGTGTTCTTCTTCTAGCCAATGAAGTGAAGACGTGCATTAATGCAAGCTGTTTTCAGTGGTTCCTGAAAGCATTGCTCAAGCATTTTGTCAGCTTGTAGAAGAACAACATCTGCCATTTTAATAATAGGCAGTCCATTTGAAAGTACGAGTTTCAGCTTAAATATAAATTTGGATTAAAGACAGAGTTAGGGTACAGAATTCATTCTCAACCAGGGACCACACTGTATACTAAATAAGCAGTTTGACTTTATAAAGTCAGCTCTGAAGTTTGAAAACCATGGCTTATGATTTAGCATGTCATGCCAGCCCAGCTAGTATAGTGTAGATCAGTATTTCTCAACCTGTGATCCATGGAAGCTGGGGGTATCCACAATGTCATCACAGGGGGTCCGTGAGGGCTTGAAGAAATATTATGATTTAAATCTTGAGTTAAGTCTTGAGGGTCCATGGCCACAAGAGGTATTTAAAGGGAGTCCAGGGTGAAGAAAAGGTTGAGAATCACAGCTGTAGATTATTCAGTAAGCCAGGGTTAAATCAAGCATAGATTAGCATGTAGTGGAAATTCAATTCAGGAATGTGATGCACTAACACTGATGATGTTTTCAAGAGCTCTAAGGAACCAAGTATAACATCCTGCTTCTGTCACATAGCATCTTTAAACGCTGCATCTTCAGCTGGTCAAGAGAAGTTGACCAGCTTCTTGGAGAATAACAATCATTTTCAACTCAAGCAATTTGAGATTGCCTAGCAATAATATTTATGTAGAAACAGTAAGATTCAGCACCAATGCTAATTACATTCCAGTCTCTGCTTGAAATGTCTATCCTTAGGTGATGCCCCCAAGACCTCCCATTATGATTGCCATTATGGGTTGGATCAGATGAGTGATTATGATCCAGCTGGGAAACTCACTAAATGTTAAGTGCCAGCTCTCTTTGAGCAGCGTTTTGGTCCTACAAGCGAAGAGATGAAGGTCTTCCAGCTTCATGTGCTTTGACAGAATTTTCAAAACTAGGCACATAGGCTGTATCAATAATACATTCCTGTCATTGAATATTTTATTAATTTGACTTCTGCTGCTTGCTGTTCCCATTTCAAGGCTGCCGGGTTATTTCTAATTAAAATTTTATGTCATGAGAGAAAACTGCTCACTTCAGGGGAGAGTTTGCTATTCTTCCTCGCAACAACTAAAGCAGTGTTTCTCAACCTTGATAATTTTAAGGCATGTGGACTTTAACTCCCAGAATTCCACAGCCAGCATTGCTGGCTGTGGAATTCTGGGAGTTGAAGTCCACATGCCTTAAAATTGTCAAGGTTGAGAAACACTGAACTAAAGCAAAAGGGGGCACTTCTGTCCACTTTAAACGGCTCCTAAGGACTGGATAGGAAATGAAGAGGAAAATTGTGGCAAGGCAGATTTTTTTACAAGATTCTGAACTTTCAGTTAGTGCTACCTACTATACGCAGTTTTCAGCCAATATAACATACAGACATTAAATTTGCTTTCCTTGCTGCTGATCATTGTCTTGCTTCTATAATCTCAGTTCTAGCTAGGTGTGCAAGATGGAAATCCTGATTTTGGGTGCATAGGGTGTGTTAAACAATGTCAGTACTTAAACCCTCTGGCTTTGACACCTTCCCCTTTTTGAACTCCTCAGCCAGGAAGAAACCATCTGCCAAGCACAGCGCTGGTGTAGTTAGCAGAAGGTCTGGACAGATGGCTAGATTTAACCATAGGCCCAAACTTGTACCTGCAAGCCAACTGATTAGCAGGCTTCCCCAGGTGTGGAATTTTAAAAGCACATTAAATCTGTGAGATTTAAGCCATGTCGATGATATCAGCAACTGGCAGGTATTCCAAAATATGCTGTTCTGAGGGCAGGGAAGTATCTGGTAAAGCAGGAGAGCTCTGATCTGACTCAACCAAGAAATATTACTGACAGTCCTTCCTCTGGCAACATATCCCCCTCATCCTGTTGTCTAGTGTGCAGTACTCCATACCAAGAAAAATCAGTTTTTCAAAAGGTTATCAAATGGCTCTTATTAAAGGCCATTCCTCCCCAGTTTGCTTTTTAGCTTCTAAAAATGCCTTTTGCAATTCAATCTTATCCCAAGGAACCCATTTATTGTGCAGCCATTTTCAAGTGTCTTTTTTCAAGACACTCATGCTTATATACTTAATTTTAGAAAATGCCACTGGATGTGGTTCAAGAACACAAGCTCACTATCATAGCTTTTTTTTTTTTCAGCAATGAAACCCTTAGTGCCACACAACACTGTTATTAGGATTTAACGAACTCAGTATTTTTAATAGTAGCCCTTTAACTGTAATACAAAAGAACACTATTTTAGATAGTTGCTACCATAAGGTGAAATTCTACATTATAGTTTAGGAAATCAGGTCCTGAGGATCAATTTTATATTTTAATTTAAAAAGGCAGATTATAGAAATGTCCTCTAAAGAATATATACTGTAAAAAAGCAAACTAATAAAATCAGACACTTTCTCCAGGCAATTCGAAATAATATGGAGAGAAGAGAGAGCAGAGATCGGTTGTATTGTGTCTTCTCAATGCTGAGGATTTCAATCCCATCTATCCTAATCAGCACAGATAATGACAGTGATAAGTACATTCTAAAACACTGGGAAACTAAGTTATCTATCCCCGAGAGGATGAATGGTTTCGATTCACTTTTATGAAATCACAAAAAGTGTCATGGAAGATATCACAAAATTGAATGAAAAAAGGAAGCTGGAATAAAAAGGAAAATGAAAGTACTTAAGACAAGGGATTGTAGAAATGAAAGAAAAGGACTATTCATTCCAATAAACAGTGTAAAATCTAATCAGTAGACCAACAAACTGGATTAAGATTGAAATGGAAAAAAGGCAGCATGAGAAATTAATATATCACTGTATGAAGTAGATGAAAACTGAACGGAACAATTTGATTTATGAAGTACAAATATATAGTTTCATGACAGAGGTCAGCAGAAATATTTTAAAAATGTGTTGTTCGAAACCCAACACAAAATTTCCAGAATTTGAAGAACTATCTGAGCTACAAGGCATGCCAACCGGGTAAGTATTAATTTTGAACTACTTCTTACTACACCCAGCTAGGTGGCAGAATTTAGCCAATGCACTGATGATATTATCTAATTTGGATAATGAAACATCTGCAAGAAAACAATCAAGCTCAGAGAACACCAAAGATCCCTCAAATATTCTCCTTTATTGAAATTTAGTCAATCTTGACTGCTCTCAAAAAGCCACACAGAATTGGACCTACTTAATTAGTACACTTGGCTGGAAAACGTTCAGAAATACCAGAACTATAAACTGCATTAGGAAATTTAACAAACATCTTAGAAGAAGGCAACAGCAAGTCTGCATTGATTACACCCCAAAATGTCTATTGAATCACTAAGAGGCAAGCCAGGTTTGAAAGAGATTTTACTGTTTATCCTGTTTGCATTTGCCTATATATACATATGCGCACCCACACCCACACACATACACCCACACACAAAGAAAGAGTTCAGACAAGAGACTATTCACCAATTAAATAAAAACTTGGCTTTAGTGAAGCCCTTACTCTAGTATTAGAATTCCACAAGCAGTAATATTTGAGTAGAAATGGGGCTATAAAAATGAGGTGACAACTACTGGAATTGCTTCTTTACTGATGATGCAAGTTAAACATACAAATGATGATTCATTACCAAATTCCCATCCCTCCAGCTTAACAATACAGGATTTTAACCAACTTTGGAATCTCAGCAAATACACGGGTGCGTAAAAAAGCCAAGTTACAGAATTCTGCTATTCTAGGGCAAAAGGAATAGCAACAATATCCCCAGCAATTTAATTCTGTAGTTTATTCATGCACCATCAAGTTTATGTTTTAGCAGCTCACAGACCGAAATATGTTCCCCTTAATTATCGCTTCATAGAAAACATCTATATATGAGATATGGGAAGATCATTTGTAGTATTTAAGGAGAAAGTGATAACTTACCAAAATTGTTTATTTGTGATGAAGTAATTCTTATATGCAAAATTTATTTTCTTTATTATATTTTCTATTTTTTCTTTTCTGCACTTTATTTTTTATATTTTCCCTTTTTAAAGTTTTTATTATTTTATTTTATTATTAGTCTTTATAATTGTAACATTTAATAAAATGACCATAAAAATCTATGTACGTAGAGGAAAAAGTGATACTAACTTTCCCTGGAAAACAGAATCTAGGCAGTTCCTGGTAATAGACTGAAGCAACATAAAATTGGGTTTGTTCATGCTGAGATGAAAGGCAAAATGGAAGACACCCTGGACTCGGTAGATCAGAGGTGGAAAAAACAAAGGCAGTCTTCACTCGACATGATGGAGGTGGGCAAATTCTATTGTTCAAGGAATGGCCTGTTTCATTCCGGAATTATTGCTGGTTCAAAGATTAACTTTCCTTCCAAATGCTAGATCCCTTAAATGATGGAATTGGCAGAGTTTGAAGAAAGAAAGCAATATTTTAGAGCTCTCCCTAACAAAATATTTTACATATAGCTAATGCTAAACCACTTTTTTGTTTAACCATAGTTTACAGAATAAAAGATAATTAACTGGTTTTACATAATAAAGCATCCAAGATAATTTACAAACCATAATGTTTGCATTCATGTACCACATTAAGCAACAAACAAGCAAATTATCATTTGGTTTACTATAATGTGTCAAACTAGTCATTGCAGTTTGAGTCATATCGCAATTTGAAGCACAGCAGATTTATTATATAGCACACTGTATAGGGAACTATGTTTCACTATTCTTTTGCTGCATTTTAATGGAAATAGCCCCCTGGAAAAACTTTATTATTCAAATAAAGTTATGGGAGCATTCAATCACTATGATTGGCTATCTTGTTGCTCTCAGGTGTAACCCTTCTTCTCCAAAAAGACAGCTAAGATTAAATGCAGAATCACATGCTGGCCAGGAATGTGTTTTTCACTAAGCTGGTTCCCTGGAGAGGGGGAAAGCTGGTAGATTCTAGACTGGATGGGAGAGGTAGAAAAGAAAAAACACCTAGGTTTGGTTCCTGGGACAGAGGCCTCACTATGACAGGGCAGTTTATATCTACTAGGCCACAAAACCCTTTTCAGTCAATCTGCTTGGAGGGTACTCTATATACTCAGATGGTTTTAGCAGCATCAGCCAATCTTGGTGGATCTGGATCAGAAGATTCTGGCTGTTTCTAGATGACTGAGTGCTCTCTCCTGGTGGAATTTCCTGCCAACTAGTTTTAAGAAGTATTACATAAGGCTGTGCTTACATTTTATGTAAAGAACATGTGCCGTTCTGGTGCTCTCGGCCCAAAATGCTATTTATAGACTCCTGGGATCATGCTGGTTATACTTACAGACTCCAGAATACATTAGAAACCAGAATATTTCATTCATCTTTGCTTCATCCTCCAGCTGCCTTCTCCAGAAAAATAAAGGGAAGGAAAACAAGAGCATCTTAGTGAAAAAAGACATTTGAAATTGAACATCCTTCAATGCAGATTCTTTTCAGAGTGAAAGCATCCTCCTATCTGCTTCTCAGATTGCATAATTTTTTTTTTCTGTTTTGCTTGAAGAGCTTACAGTTCAATCCTGAAAGCATTTGCTGTGGGTTTGACTCCTGTTACCAGAGTTTTCACATTTACAATACAAAGTTATTGATTACCTCCGTTCTTAACATGCTGATAATCACACAATAGATTAGTAAGCATTTACCACTGATATTACTATTGCCACATTGAGGTCCTGAAGGAAAAATACAACATAAATCTAACAAATAAGTGTTGCTGCTCAGTACAGATATAAGCAAGAGGTTTAGAAACATCCCTCTCTCAAAATTATGAAATTTAAAAACTTTTATAGGAAGTCATTTAACTTTTTTTGAGCATAAGTATGTGAGATTCAGGATAGGAATTAAATGGTATTTGACATTAAAGTATTGTGTCAATGTTGTCTATTTATTACTACTACTACTACTACTACTACTACTACTACTACTACTACTACTATTATGTTGGTTTTAAATCAGTGTTCAATATCCAGAGCTGTAATTATGAAATTTGTAGCTATATAAATCAATATAAGAAATATATCAAGGACTGACTTTGCTTAGTATTCTAGATCAGTCAAAGCTGACTGGCAAATATAAAACTAGAGGCCCCACTAATTTGAGGACTATGATCCACTATAACTCACAAAAACACTATTTTCTATTAAAATGTACATAAATAGGTTGCAAAATATTTGAGTTAGTGTAAGGTACATTTTGTGCACCTGCTTTTTACAATCAGACTTTCTGTAGGATAGACTTTCTATAGCCTGCAAATCATCAATTCCTTTTCGAGGTCTTCAGATACCTATGGGAATGTCCACAAACAAGCCAGCATGGTTTTTAACTAGATTCTTATTTAATCAAAGATACCAGATAAACTATTACTTGTTTAGAATAATCTGTACTTCCATCTGCACACTCCTTTCTTTTCTCAGTATTAACATTTTCAACATCACCTTCCTGAATGTCCCAGGATTGTGAATAAATAAACTGTGAGAAAATAAAATAAAACCATTTTAATAATGAATCATTACAGTCTCCTCCATTGGGAACTTTGGAAGACAATTATGTTGGGAACTTAGCTAAACTGGACATTCCAGTTTAGCTGTGTCATTACTGGATGCTTAGGTGTTCTCTCCTCCCTCCTCCCTCTCTGAATTTGTCTGAATATGGTCTAATTAACGTTCAAATGCCAATTATAATTTATGAATTATAATGTATGAATCTTTTCCCCAATATATGTTGCCATATTAGTAAGTTATGCTTTTTTTCTTCCATTCAATTGTGCCCAATTCTCAGAGACTGTCCAGACAATTCCCTGAAGCTTTTCCTCGGGCTGAGAGAAATGACTGGCCAAGTTTGCCCAGCTGGCTTTTTGCCCAACACGAGAATAGAACTCATAGCCTCCAGTTTCTAACCTGGTGCCTTAACCTCTACACCAACTAGCTTTCTAAATTATGCTATTTCCACTTAAATTCCATTACATTTGTTGCTGTTCATGTGAGGCAAATTGGCCTATCCTCAACTGGCCTATATCAGATGTCAACCAGCCTATAGGTTTTCTGGATGTCATCCTTCAGCTACTTTTCTATTCTGATTCATTTATGTTTCCAGGAAAACGAGTTCAGAATAAAGTCCTTTTCCCTTGGTTGAAGAGCAGCTGCAAAATGAGGTCCAGGGAAAGGAGGATTTTTCCAAATATTGGCTGAAACCGACCACAAGCCATTCCTCTTAACATTCTGGTATAAAATAGAAAATGTGTGAAAATAAACCATTTTCCAGTGTGTAAAATTATACGGAAAAAAGGAGCGATGAGTAAAAATTACATGTCTGAGCAGACACATTTTATGGCAAATGACATTGAAAGAAAGAAAAATTAAACAGCAAATGTAAAGCTACGTTTTTGCGTACTTTTGAAGTATTTAATAACTGATTTAAAACTGCATTGTTGTTTTCATCAAAAATTGATAGATTCCACTATAGCTTCAATAGCATCAGGCAAACTGTTCCCCAAAATGAAGGAACAGTATTCATTCTAGGAGGAAGATGAATTTAGGAAGGAGCAGGACTCCACAAATATCTTCCATATAAAAAAAGGTAATTGAGATTAATGCTCCAAAGATTAGAATCTCCTTACCTGTTTGAAGAATACATTTCTCTAATATGCTCATTACTGTGTATCACGACAGATCTTAAACTCAATAAAACCTCCTTTATGGAAGTTTTCAAGAACACAATGTCTGTCTGACTGGATGAGATGCTCTCTGTACGTGCATGTTTAAGGGAGGGGATGTTCAATTCCTTAGTTATTTTATAATCTTTCTAGGCAGATTAGATCTCATCACATAACCATTTCACTGGAAGAACATGAGCCATTCCAAATAAATTCAGACCTTTTCTAGTCTAAAGTTTCTTGGAAAAAAACAGCCTGCTTAAAATGATAACAAATGCATTTCATTCTGAGTCTTTCCAATACACTCAATGGGAAAAAGCATTCTGAGTGCCAAGTCTACTTTCTTTAAGAAGCCATGGCTGTACAAGCTGTTAAAAGGTGGACATTCAACTCTTTAAGAGAAACCTTTCTCCTTATTGCATTCAGGTTGGAAGGGCAGTCATCAGGCTCCAAGACGTAGGCACTTCTAGAGAGAAGGTGAGTTACTGAAGAAGACACAGTGATGTCCGAGAAGCAGGTTAGCCGCTGTCACACGCACAGTGGGGACATAGCAGCACAATGTGCGTTAGTCAGTGGCTCACCTGCTTCTGGAGAATTAACCAAACAGGCATCAGCTTCTAGGGTACCAATGACAGGCAATCACCCCATCTCACCCCACCTCACCCTCTAATTGAGCACCTGAAATAAAAACATGTATCAGCAGGATCACTGTCCTTATTAACTGCTTGTTTGCATTATTTCAGAAATTCAGACCCGATTCTAAATAATCTCAAGGCAGTTTCCTTTTCAGTCTCCTTGTCCTTTCCAACTTGTGTAACACAATCGCAAAACAGCAGGACTTTCTGCCACAGCCTTACTTTCTCCTATGCCCTCCAGTTCTGCAGTTCCCCCCAGTCCTCAGACAGCATAGCCATTGGATTTGAGTTGGAGAGCATGGAACTGTAGTCTAACATAAACAGGAGAGCAGAAGAGTGCTTTATATTTATCCTCAGCTCTGTAAAATACAAACCCACTCTTTAAATATATATTTAGGGGACCTTCCTCTCCATCACCACTCATAGACAAGGCAAAATTGCTTGGGAAAATACTTAGGAAAATACTGTATCTACATTACCCCAAGTGTTTCAGAGAGGCAAGAAATGTTATTGGGGGGGGGGGGGACTGTTGCTATAAGTCCCGTCTCCCTCTGGAGAACAATTCACCCACTTGTCAGAGTAGCAACAAAATTCCCATTGATTTTAGCGGAATGAGTCGGATCTTTGGTCCCGCAGAGATTTCCTTCGGGTATACGGCACATACTCCACGGTATTTGTCCTACATTATAAGCCAACTCTTATTTGTCACTTTCCAAGCCGCAGTTCAACAAGTCGTTTTGCAATATCCTCCAGGAGCAAAAAGCTTCTGTTTCCTTCTCTACGCGATCCTTAGTTCAGAGGGGTATCAAGGCAGACCGGATAAACTTTTCCAGCGATAAGGCCAACTGCTGGTTCCTGGTCAAAGCATCACTCACAATTTGCACTTTCAGGACGCCGCGGGCAACGCGCTAAAAAGCAAATCGTCACACCGAAAAGTCCAAGAGGCGCCGAGCGCTCTTTTACCTGCCCGGGTGAAGCCAGGTCTGTCAGTGACCTCGCTCGAACCCCACCGACTCCGCGTCCTCGGCGAATGTCCGGGAGAAATCACTCAAGCCAAGTTCCGACCCCGCGCGCGTTTTTTAGCTGCCCGCACGCAACTCCCTCGGCCGAGGCTCTCCCGCTTCAGAAAGAAGGGACTTTCCTCTAATTGCATCCATTCGCCAGTCGAGAGGCGGCCGGAGTCCTAACGCTCACTCTCCACGGAGTTCTGCGAAGTACCTGAACTTTGCAAGCGCTTGCCAGACGCTGACCGGTACAGCTTCGCGCTCTCCTTCCACAGCGCCAGCTTCCGGGACTCTAGCCTACAGGGACCATTTTCCGTTTCCAGCTGGCGAGGAAGAGGGCGGTGGCAACCTCTTGTTCTCACTGCGCTCCCTAAGCCAGTCAGCCCAGCCCGGCGCGCCTCAGACCAACCCATGCCGCGACCACTGCAGCCGTGCAACCTGCTTTCCCTTTTGCTCCTCCACCCCGCCCTAACTTCATGCAAATCGAGCTCGTGACGTGACGTTACGATTGCCCAATGGGAGCTGCGCCCGGCTACCCGGCAGTCACGCCCTCCGAGGGGCTGGCCAATCTACGGGAACCTCTCCGTGCCGGGGGCCAGGCAACTCCCTCCTTCCCTTCCCTATGAGTTACAGTGCGGGGTGCGGCGCGTTCGTTTCTGCACGTCCTTACTTTTAGGGAGGAACCAACTGTACTTGCCCGAGCTTCAGAACCGCGCTCCCACCTCCCTTCCCCGCAATGGTTGCCGCTAGCCAACCTCCTTTTTCATTGGGGACAAGCTTTCACGCCAGGGTGAGTCTCGCGACTCTGTACATTGCTTTTGACACGCGTGCTTCGGCTCGCCGCCTTCTCTCCCCTTTTGGGGCGGGAGGATGGTAAATGGTACAGCCCGGCTTGGGCTTTGCCATGAGGACAGTGTCAGTGTGCACGTAGCAAGCGCAGCAGCAGCAGAAGGACGGGTCCCAAGCGACGCGCGGGGCCGACGGGGCGGGCGCGCGCGCGCCCCTGGATGTTCCCCGGACGGCCGCCGAGGCAGCTGCTGTTTGCAGCTGGCGCGCGCTGTCCTCAAAGGCTCTTTGAGCTCCGGCGCCGAACCTTCCTTGGCCCCGTTCTAAGGAAAGGGGAAGAAGGAAAAGGAATCCCGCCCCGCTCTTTTTACCTCATTTGCTTTTTTTTTAAGGATGCGCGCGCGCGTGTGTGCGTGCAAAAAGCTCAAGGGACCTGGTTATCTTTAGTACTGGAACAGGACATTCAAGACGCTGCAAATCTTGCATGCTGCCTGGGATGGTACGCTACTTGGGCACCCTACCTGAGTCTCCTACTTTACACGTTGGCGACCCTTGTAGCTTCCAGGCAAATTCTTAGCTGGCCTTTATAAACAAATAACACTATCATCAGAGAAGATGCATTTAAGACTACTGAAAAAAAGTCCACCAAACAAATCCTTCTGGAACTCTTTTACTTCCATTCGTTACAGAGATTTCCAAAAGGGTGTAAAAAGATGGATAATATAGTATAGAACGTCTGTTTGTCAGAGCATGAATTTGGTGAGAAATCCATTATAATGGTGGTTTAATCTACCAAACCATTCTTAAGTTTATTACATTCCAGAATTTATCCTGTGGCATAGAAGAGCACTGCACATTTGTCTATGCAAATTAATTTAAGCATATTTGTGCACATTTATATAACTTCTAGACTGATTGTGTGTCTCGTGGTTCGCCACATGAAATCAACGATCCTCACATATGAACAAAATGACAACTGACTGTGTTCTAGCGGTCCTTCAAATTATTTGTATAATTTGTCATTTTATAATGGGAACACTGCACTACCATTGTGCTGCTTGCTCATGCAGAAATAACACACAATATTTAAATAAACATACAAATAAATAAATGTAAAATCTTTAGGATGAATTGGACTAATGTATCCAGCACTTCTGCTTTGGCCCTGGTCTTGAGGAAGAGCTTGCTGCCTTTTTTTACTTCAACCCACCTAGGTCAGGGGTCTGCAACCTTGACAACTTTAAGACTTGTGGATTTCAGCTCCCAGAATTCCTCAGCCAAGGTTGCAGACCCCTGACCTAGGTGCTGCCTTCCTATGGGCCTACTGCATGCAGAAAACTTTGGTGCCCAAACCCCAATTATGCTGAAGGGATTAGGGATTAGGATACACATATATTAGCATGGAGGAACATGAAGACCTTTATTGACTTGTCCCCTTCCTTCATTGCTGGATGATAACAAAAGGCATGCTGGGCCTTTCCTTCCTTGTAGTTCACAGAATGTTCTGGCAACACCAGTATTCCTTTCTGAACACATGACATTGGTTTATCTCATTCCACACCCATGTTTTAAACAGCCTTACACGGGTTCTTAATATTCAGGAAAATAACTGGTTCTTCCTGCTTCATTTGACATTAAACATAGGGTTTAAACTTTATAGTGCACCTTTAGAGAGGTATGATCATGTAACCAGGCCATCCTTGGTCAGACTGTGGTGCATCTCCTGAAAGCAGTCTAGCTTAGTTTAGCAAAATCAGGTCTGCATCTTACCAGCAAATCAATACAGGAAGGGCTGAAGTATGTTAAAATTCCTAGTGAGGAAAGGCTCCAACTCACCAATCTTGCAAAAAAGGTCACTGTAAGTACTCAGACACTATATAGTAGATTCAACAGGAAAATAGGCAGACAATTGTGCCTTTCATATAAATACTAGAATAAACCACAAGTACATGGGGATCTCTCTCTGACATACTTCATGAGCTGGGCTAAATCGGGTAGGCAACTGTAGCTTATGAGATACATGAATGTTTCCAACTCCATATTGGCAGTCTCTATAATACTCCAATTAGCCGAAATCCAGGCCAAAATATCCATGGTACACCTCTGCTGGGCTAGCATCCATTTTATTTTATTTTTTATGGATTTTATCCCACTTATTTTTTTTATAAAAAAATCAAGATAGCAAACATACCTAATACTCCTTCCTCCTCCTACTTTTCCCCACAACAACAAACCTGTGAGGTGTGTTGGGCTTAGAGAGAATGATTGGCCCAAAATCACTCAGCCAGCTTTTATGCCTGGGGTGGGATTAGAACTCATGGTCTCCTGGTTTCTAGTCTGGTGCTTTAACCATTAGACCAGTCTAGTCTATTTCACTTATATGTTTTATATTACATATTCAATATTACTACTATTCAGTTTTCCCACCCTCCCCCAAAATGGGAGGAAAATTTAGCTTTGCGTCCTCTGGAATATCGTTGTTATGACCTGTATGGCTTTAAAGACTTTTTTAATATATATACATGTTGATTTCTCCCTCTCCTGACAAAGCTTGCCCTTGAAGAAGCCCTCATGCATGAAGAAAATTCAACTGTTTTTCTGTCTAATATCTATGTGTATAAAATCCTATGAGAACAGTGATATGTTTGCAATTTGGTATTCTCTGAATTTCAGTCAGATCCAATGTTGAGATCCCTTTTAAAACTCAATAGATTAAACTTTATTTGTCTTCATGTGATTCACTTATGTGGCTCAGAGAAAAAAACTTTACAGTCAGGCAATAAAACAAAGCACTTCATGATGGTGTTTACGTGGAAAATGTGTCTGTAGTTCTAATTATCCCAGTGTTTAGCTGTGCATGACATACAGAGACGAGGACACTGAAGTTTGGAGTAGATTCAAATCCATTCTGTGAAGACAAAGGGAGTGATCATCCCGGTCAAAGTCAGGGATTACAGATATCACAGTCAAGAAATAATCATGATTCCCACTAGAAGAAATGTGACACTTGTTCTATAGAATAGATTATTTTAGTCCATAAGAAAACTTCACATTATTAAATAAATTGAGCAAGTTATTTAGAAAGTGTTTCCATCGTTGACTTTATTTAGAAAACAAATATTTTGTGCCTTTGGAGGATCCCTATGGAAAAATGATCCAAAGGTATATGAGCTTTTTTTTAGATAGCTGAACTACCTCTTTCCTACCTATGTTGTAAAGTTAGAGAATACTTAACTATCTCACTTCCAAGAAAAACAGTGGAAAAGACATTGACACGATGAACATACATGGAGAAGCTGAGGCAGGATGTCCCCCCACCTCCAATTTCACTTTTTGGGGTTGATTAAAAGTTTTTTTTTTAAACCACAAGTGTAACAACTTTTTAAGAGTTGCTAATTCTTAATCCATCTAATTATTCCATCCATTATTCATTAAACATCAGCAGAAAATAATTCTACAGTTGTTTAAAGATTTTGGGAGATTCAATGGACCCTAAAAAAGAGAGTTGGGGCCCACAAGGGGCAAATTATCCTGAAGCTTGAGCAATGCTTTCTCTTTTTACTAATAATGTTTTCCTGGCAATGTGGCTCTGAGCTTTCTATATTTTGAGGGAGTTAAATATTATAATCCTTTATTCTGGAGAATGCATTTGTCCAAACCAGAAATGTACGTGCTATACTGATGTGCATGTCCATTTTTAGAGACTCACCAAGGCCTGTGAGTAATATTTTAATATTGCTGA